GCAACTCTTCTGCTGCAAAGCCCCCATACCCCCCCACCCACCACTTCCCCACCACAGGACAGGGCATGCAGGGAACAGATCATGCTTGTCCCCCTCCTGAACACTGCTCCCCACCCATCAAAAACCCCATAGGGAGTTTTGGTTAGTTTTTGTACAGCAGGTTGACCCAGCCCACATCAGCTCATCAAAACTCTCTTTGTGTCCCTCAGGCTCAAATAACTGCCCACCCCTGGTAGAGACATACCCAAAGGTATTAAGTGGTTTGCCCAAGATGAGGTAGGAAGTCGGTGGTAGAGCCAAGAATGAAGCCTAGATCTTCTGAGACCCAATTTAGTATGAACCTTCTACTCCAGTTTTTGCATTAATACAATTTGTTATTGCAGAAAAATAGTATCATTTAGATTTAAAGAGCAGACCAAATTATAGGCTGTATTGATATCAGTGGGGAGTTCTGCCTCCATTTCAGTAGCATGTTATAACCACTTTTTTTTTCAAGAGGCAGAAAATTCTCTGTAATGCATGCATAAGAGAAAAACCTGGTTATAGAATGGTAACTCTAAATTCCTACCGTCAGGAAGAGATTTATGCATTTGTTTATATTTCATATACTGATAAAATCCAAGAAGGATAAAAATCAGAATGAAAGTATTTCATGTTCTTCCAAAATGCTTTCATTCCCTTGTCCATCTGCTTTTAGATGATTTAATTATTATGCAGCAAAACTTGTAGGAATTTTTCTGTGTTTATTTTTTCATTGAATGGACAGGATTGTGCTCTGGCAGTTCTTGGATGGTAGAGCAGCTTCTCCAGATTGTCATGTGCCAAATCTAAGCCAATTTGGGACTATTTTTTTCTCATTCTAGGTGACAAACTGGCACCTGGCCAACCCCAGAACAAGGGGAGCTGAAAGATGGCAGAAGGCTATCTATGCCTCATCCTCTTCCTCAGGTACATTTGAGGATCTGGACCATTAAGATACAAGTTTTGTACACTTTTTCTGACATATATTTTACTGAAGTGCACTATTTACCATCTGAGACATACTGAGGCTAAAGAGAACTGAAGGTATTTGGGATTTGTATCAGGGACTCACGTAGGGAGAAAGAGTGTCCTTCTATAAGCACCTTATTCCAGATGAAAACAAGAATTTACTGTGAAGTTTTAGGTAGCCTCAGGAACATTCAGGACAGGAAGCCACATAGGGCACTCACAGAGGTGTGTATAATGTACAGCAAGGATGTCAAAGATATAGCCTGCATCTAGATGCAGCCCACAGGCCTCTTAGAGGAGCCAGGGATTCAGGGGAAGGGCTAATGTTAACCTTAGACTAATGCCTGCCCTGCCACCTCCACTGCTTACCCTACCACCACTGCCAGGTCCAGATCCAGCTTATAAGGTTCCTGGGGGACCCACATGAATTTGGCACCCCGGTCAAACTTTTGGGTCTTACACAAGCCACCATTTTTCACTTCCATTCCATTGAACTGTGAATTTCTATTTGGCTTCACTTTGGTGATAAACTGATATGCAGTAATAGATGTGAAGTCTGTTTGTGAAATGCCAGTTCCAAAGACTGAGGTCCTCTCTGGATTCCCAGAAATGGTATCTCTCTCTCTTCCTGTTGATTCAGACTGATTTTCTCCTGAGAATACTAGGTCATGACAATCAAGATGGATACACACTCATCATACAAATTAGAGATGGAAAAGACCTACTAGTTCACAGACCCTATCTCTTGCAGTAGGCATTTGTTTATTAGGACCTGAACTAAAACTTCCAGTTGAGTTCATGCAGTTTTTAGAACCATTTTCCAATAGTAATATTTCACCCTAATTCCTGTTTTGACTATCTTACAAACGTCCAGATCCACTCAATATCCCATGTGTCAGCTTTTTAACCACTATACAACTATTGCATATTAACAATAATTATCAGAGCATCTAAACAAATGAGTTTCTTCATAGATATCTCTTCTCCAAAGTGGAGGTACAATCAGAAAGCTTTATTTTAGTTAGGAAAAGAAAAACCCTATGAAGACCACACTTATCTTCAGTATTAAGTAGGGCATGTTAATCTAATCTCACCCAGGACACCAGGAGTTCTACCAATGACTTTCAAATGAGCTCAGCCATTGACTTCAGTAAGTGCAAAGTTAGACCAATGCTAAGCTCTTTTGAATATCCCAGACAAAGAAAGCTGAGGAGGAGGAAGCCAAGATCATCTGTAAAAGACAGGAATAAGAGAAATTTGAACCAAAAGTAATTTGTTTTTTAAATCAAATATTTTCACCAATGTAATTAGATTAAAAACAAAACAATGCCCCTAGGCACTGGTTATATTCCAGCATTTAAAAAAAGAAACTCAATTTAGTGTTCTTTTAAAAATATGCTTATTTTTATAAAATAGTAAGTCCTGTGTTAAAAATCTATCTGCCATAGAGTTTCCTGGAGAATCTTTGAAACATTCTTAAATCAGCTCTTTTGAGACAATAGCAATACAGTTTCATGCATACAGAATCAAATATGATTATTTTGATTCATTCAGTCCGTGGTGTGCAGATAAGTATCTGTGTCTTCTCCCAGTTAAAGAGATAAGAGAGAACAAAGTAGATCAAAGTTTTTGTAACTTACTAAAAGCAGGAGTTACTGCAAGGTGAGCATCCTGCACAGACAACATTTATTTAGAATTCTGTACAGATGCCAGATCATGCACTCTTGATGCTTTTATCAGGACACGCTCATAACGTCCTGAGCCATTAGGCTAAAAAGGAACAAGCAACTTTAAAATTTAAATAATTCACTTTCTTAATTAAAGGTTGTCTCCCCGTGCAATTTAATTACATCATAACTCCTTCCTGCTCGTCCACTTGTGTCTTCTATTCAAATAGAAGTAGTCTGGAAGATACAGAGAACATCAGAATGTCCAGGAGAATTGAGCAGTCAAAAGGTTAAAATTATTAAACATAGAACACTCAGTTTTGTCCTTACTTTACTCCTGCCCAAATTGTGGCTGTCACAAAATCACATTATGATCCCAGTGGGACAACAGATTGGAGACTGACTCCTGCCACAGCACAAGCAAACATGTCAATTTAGAAATGCTAAAGGTATCCTAAAGAGATAGGGTAATTAAGATTTTGTTCTCTTCTATAATATGTCATCAATTCAGTGTTAAATTTGCCATAAAATGAGAGCATCTTTGAGCTAAAATCAATGTATAACTAAATTCCTAAATTTGGAGAAAAGTAGCAAGCAGGGAAAAATAATTAATTAAATGCCTTATTACAACAAAATTATTTCCTTGCGTCCTTCATGTTGGCCTGCTCCAATGTATTCCATTTCAAAATTAGCAATTAAAATATGAAAGTGAGAGTGTGAAATATTTTCACTGTCTCTTACCAGGCCTTTTCTGAATTTATGCCAGAAGAGCCATTAGCAGTGATTGAAGGTAAGACAGTTACGATGAAATCCCCTAGAGAACAAGAAGAGAGACACCTTTTTGCCCTGGATCCATCAACTATAATGAATGATAGGCACAGTGCGTGACAGGGACTGAAATAGAAGACCGTGACAAAGACAGGCTCAGGAGTACTTCAGAATAATTCATTCAGCTGCGTTTGGCAGAAGCAGGTCATAATATATTTCATGTAGATAACGCTGTCAGTGGAAAATAAAATACAAAGCACTATTTATTTTGCAAGCAATAGTGAGTTAATGAAATGTTTAGGTAAAATTCTCCATTCTGTTTTTCTATTGTCTGTAAGCCCAAGAGGCAATGTGAGACAGCTCCACTAGGTTCTGCAAGGTGAAAGGCCTACTCATTAATTTATTGATTACAATTATTTTCCCCATCTTTGATGCTGTCGTCAATGCAATACAGGCTTTATTCAGTGACGTGTATTCAGCAGATTTGCCAGAGTTCCTGTTAAAAGAACAGTTGGAAAATTCTATTAGTTTCTTGAGAAAAGATTAGATGAAAGACAAGGGGCCAGAACCTAAAAAGAGGATTTAGGCATTGAGGGCACCTATATACATGCGACATCTACTGTCACGTGTATTCAAATGAGCTTTAGTTAAAGGCCCTGCCACCATTTTGAAACATGGGATGCTGAATACAAGTGATGCTGCTGGTGCTTTAATTAGAGCAGATCTTGGAGCCACTCTAATTAAAGGAACCCCCTCCACCTCAGAGTTCATGTAGACACCTGAAGTCCTGCTTCTGCACATGCCTAGAAGCATGTCAGGCTTGACAGGGCCAAGCAGCTTGCTATCTCTTTCATGCCTAAGCCTGACTGGAATCCAGAAACCTTCCCCTGTCTCCTCTAAGGGGTTAGATCAAGTAGGCAATGTCTGAAAATGTATACAACAATCCTACTGGAGTGAACTTCACAAAAAATGCATTGGCAGCCACTATCTGCTGTCATGGTGGTGGTAGAGTCCACTTTTTATCCCATAGGTCAGTAGTTAGAGCACTTCTCCCAAGGTACAAAAGGATTTAAGACACTTAGCATCTGATGAAGTGAGCTGTGGCTCACAAAAGGTAATGCATCTCTGATTCAGTTAGCCAGTTATTCTATAACTTCTTTGTCTCTGCCTAACTTCACACTGTCATGGCTAATTACATCTCTCTCCTTTTAGTGTTTCTTTATTGCCAAATTTGAAACAGGTCCCTACTCAGCATGTTGACTAAAGGTGGCTCCTTGCTCTGCGTGCTGGCTGTCGTGCATCCTTTACTGTGGCATCTAACTCTCTCCATGCATTGTAAAAGCATGCAAAGGCACTTCACTTGGGATTCTGATTTTCACTATGGAAGCTAAGCACCTACACCCTTTTCTGTATCCCACCTCAAGTATCTACCAGAAAGCGGAACACAGATATGTGCAATTACTTTCTTCAGCACAGTACCATGTTATTTGGGGTAATTTGCAATCTCTTTGCCTTGTTCTGAGCAATGGGGTTCAGTTAGGGCATAAATGATGATGAATTATAATAGCTATTCTGTTAATATGGTTAGTGTGTTCAGACTCTATTTATAAGCTTAAGGTGCTAAATCTGAAAGAATAGAATTTTCTGAATATGAAATTGAGCAAATTTCAACTTCACAAAAGCATTTTGAAAAGAGTACCCAAGGCTTGTAAATTTGCTTGACATATGGTATGCAAAGATCACAACAAGTGAGTAAATAGCCACCTAGAAAATGATTCTCAAATTATTTGATGTTGCTATTTGAGCTTCAAACAAGCAACCAAAGCATATCAGTAGATTCTACTGAATACAACAGGACTCTTCAGTGTTGAATGTATACATTAGTGATTATATGCACCCTTTCTACAACAAACATGTTCATGACGGACTCCCAGTAAATGTACACACCTTGTCAAATCATAGAGCACAATTTCTGGCTTTGTAAGTCAGTGAACACTAATTGCAACATCCATAGTCAGATCTAGGATTTTGATCAGGGGAAAGTAGGTGGTATGGTGCATCATCACATGTAATACAACACATATTATTCTCCAGTTAAAGAGAAACTAGAAGGTTTACTAATACACTAAGGGCCCAGAGCTATATTGTTCAGCTTTTGACCAAAGCAAAAACAAATATAACTTCATTGGAATGTGTACTAGTTTGCTAGCTTATATATCAAGTTTAAAAAACATAGGACACTAGGCAACAATAATCTAAAGTTATTATTGTATTAGTTCGGTAATCTAAAGGCCAAAGAGCTTCAAGGTTATGAGCCTGAATGGGCATACAAGTTGTAGTGATCACTGAATTCAATGAATACATTCATATAATGGATGAGAAGAGCTAACAATAATGAACTTATTGTGGGGCAGTACACAACCTATGCAGACCCTTGTACTATCTCTAGCTAACTGGCTATTCCCTAATGGAGGGTCTATCTTCCAGTTCCCAAGTCTTCTAAATTAGGGAGTGTCTCTAAATTATAACTTTTATCACTACATCTGCCCTTTTAACAATAATTGCAAAAATCATTGAACACAAAAATCAATTAACATCCCTCTACAAAGGAGAGGTTTACTGTGGCCACTTGTACACATGATGGGGGTTTAGTCCCCTAAATTGAAATGGTGGGTTTTTAATTGCAATGATTAAAAACCCACCATTAATGATGAATTTAGGGGCTTCTGTCACCATTACAATGAGGGGCCTGATCCTTTTTTTTTCCCCCCTGTGGAAACTGCCCACCTCTCCTGCAGCCGAGGGGCAAGCTGCCAGCAGGCTGAGCAGCCCTGTGGGGGACCTGGTCCTTCCCTCTGTGGTGGTGGCTCCCCCTGGGGCTGCCTGAGTGGGCTGCTAGTGGGTGGGTGCTGCCCTGGGGATGCTACCACCGTGGACGTCTGGGCCCCCCCCCCGAGCTCAGGGCCTGCCGGCAGCTTGCCCACCAGCCACAGGAGAGGTGGGGAAAACAGCCACAGGGGAAAATAAGGATCAGGCCCCTCACGGTTTGTTTTTTTTTCTCCTCAGTGGAGCTGACCCGTGTGAGCTGCTGCTGGGCCTGCTGCCCCTGAGGTGCAGGGGGGCCCAGTCCTTCCCTCTGTGGAGGCAGTATCCCTGGGCCACCCAGGCGGGGTGCTAGTTGCACAGGTGTTGCCCCAGCTTGCACACAGCACCCTCTGGATCAAACTATTCCCCAAGCCCATGCAGGGAGCAGTTCCTAGCAGGCTTCCAGCATGTGGGCTTGGGGAAGAGTTGGATCCGGCACGTGCTGCCTGCTAGCTGGGGCAGCACCCACGCAGGTCACATCCCACTTGTGCAGACCCAGGGGGCACCACCACTTTAGAGGGAAGGACTGCCCCCCACCCCTGCAGCTCAGGGGCTGCATGGTACAGTGGCAGTTTGCATGAGCAGGCTCCACTCAGGGAAAAACACAAGTGGTGAGGGGCCTGATCCTCTTTTTTTTTTCTGCAGAGTCTGCCCACCACTCTTGTGGCCCAGGGGCAAGCTGCCAGTAGACGCTGAGCTGGAGGGGGCCTCAGACCTTCCCTCTATGGTGCTGTTGTCCCCTGGGACCACATGGGAGGGTGGCTAGTGGGTGGGTGCTGCCCCAGCTTGCAGACAGCACCCAGCCCAATCCAAGTGTTGCCTGAGCCTGAGCTGGGGCAGCACCCGCCTGCTAGCCTCCCACCCGGGGCAGCCCCAGGGGGCGCTGCCACTGCAGAAGGAAGGACTGGGGCCCTCTGCAGCTCAGGGGCCACTCAGCCCACCAGCAGCTCACCCCCTGGCTGCAGGAGATACAGGCAGGCTCCATGGGGTGGGGGAAAAAAAGGATTGGGCCCTTCACTGCTTTTGATTTCAGCCCACCTCCCACAGTGGGGAAGGGCGAGATGTCAAAGGCTGCAACGTTACAAATAGCTATGTTGTAAACTAAACTGTATGAGGATGTGGTTTAGTTTGCAATGTAGCAAACTAATTTAAATCGTAGAAAAAACCCCGCACATGTACAGTATGATGCAATTAAACCTTAAAAATGGCCAATTTTCATCACGCATACAATGTTACCTCTCAGCTCCATGTTCTTGGGGAACCCTGACACAGGACGCAGCCTGTCTGACTCACAAAGAATTCCCCCCTCCTCCCCTCCTCTACCTAAACAAAAACTGATTAAGATGCAGTGGGAGACGCACCTAAAACCCTCCAGATAAGGGTGACAAGAGTGAAACAACTGCCCTAGGCCTCATTTGCATCCAAGATGGAACCAGATGACAACTCATTTACATGGGAGATGGAGAACAGAAAGCCCGAAGCAGAGACCGCAGTGAATTCTGGGATTAGAGAAGCAGGGGAGCACTGCATGATGGGGAATCTGTACTCCAAATGCTAATCAACCCACACACCCAGCTCAGCATTTATCAGACCAGTACTAATCTGGATTTACAAAAGACTGCCCCCCGCCCCCTGCACACCTCTAAGCAGAAGTAAATTTTACTAGGCATCTCAGGCCGTACATTCCCTGGTCCCACTATGGGAGGCCTATTTAAACTT